CAATGAGAGCGTGACACGTGGTCTCAAGTTGTTTTTGTGAATTCTAATTTTGTCATGTTTTCCTAATTCTTTATACATAAATTGTTTGTTAGTAGAAATTAGATTTTTAAGTTTAGAATTTTAGTCAATTTAGATATTAGAAATATAATTTAGTTTTTTTAGTTAATTAAATTTTTAGAAATAGAGTTATTTATAATAGAATTTTTATAGGAATTATTTAGAATTTTATTAGAAGAAGATTTTTTTTAATTAGAATATAAATCAATATTTTAAATAGAATTTAGAATTATCTAGAATTTTATTAGAAATAGAATTTAGATTTTTTTTTTCAGTTAATTAAATTTTTAGAAATAGAACTAGTGTTAATTTAGAATCAAATAGAATTAGAATTTTAGAATTAATTAGAGTTTTTTTAACTTAGTTTTAATTAATTAGAATTTAGGAATTAGAAATAGTTTTTTTATTAGATTAGAATTAATTAGGAATTAAGTTAGAATTATTAATTAATTAAAGTTTAGAATAGTTTAACAATTAATTAACAGAGAATTAAAACACACATCATTATTACTCTTCCTAGTTTAAGATAAAAACAAGATGTTAGGAGCATGAATTCTTATCAAGTGATTGAAGGCTCTGGTAGCTTGTGGGTTTCCTAACCCCTTGCAGTTCCAAACCAAGATCCTCATCCTTCCCAGGATGCCTTGTTATAAGGGTATGCCACTGTGGTGTTGTTGTTTGGTGTTGTGCAGTTGGAGGTGTCATTTGGTTATTCCCAGTCTATGTATCTTCTTTTCCTATTTTAGCTTGAGCTTGCAGGTTGCCCCTTCTTGTTGGCTTCTCTGTCCTATCTGCTGGATTTTTTTCCTCCTTTAGGGAGATTGCTTGCATCTGTTCCAACATAGCTTTAGGTATGGGGCTATAGAAGCTCACATTAGGTTTGTTTGTATGATTTCTACTGAATTTTATGTCTTCTAGGGAGATTTTCTTTCTTCCTAGTTGGGTAGCTTTTAGCCAAGGGCCTAAAGGGTTCACCACATTTATTCCATGAATTGTGGAGCCTTGGTTTTTTTTGTAAAACGTTTCACCACGCCCCATGATACCACAGTAAAATAAAAAGAGGGGTAGTTTTTCATACTTGAAATCAATCCAGGTTATCCTATTATTCTTACTGCCTATATACATGCCAGGGCAAATAGGAGTCTGAACATTTAGCAAGGTTTTAGCCTTCACATCTGTAGTTTTTTCAGGCATATCATATATCCCTGCCTCAATAGCTTTTCCAATTTTGCCACCAGGTTTCAAACCCATCTGAATCGTTTTTGCATTAGTAGGCAGACCCCATATTTGGACACATATAGGTGCCTAAGAGAAATTCAATTTGTTGAAAGCACTTTTCCCATCCCATTCCTGCATGATTATCCAAGAGTTCCTAAACACCCAAGGATTACCCTTGAGGATCCGTTGGTGGTCTTTTGTTCTATCCATGGTGAACTTGAAAACATCATGTTCCATCTCTTAGACTTGTAGATTTTGAGGATTACACCAAATACCACTAAGAGCTGTTTGTGAAGATCTTTTGTGGATTGGCTTTTCTGTGATAATTTTTATAAGAATGCTAATAGAAAAAACTTTTTCTTCTTGAATTTCTTCCTCTTCATAAAGGAAAAAATTAGGGGTTATATTTTCCCCTTGCTTGTCACCTTTCCCCTTATTTGGAGTGGATTTATGCATGGTATTGTTGTTGATGCGTATGCCTTTGTACTCTTGTCTGGTAGATGTTAAACTTTAGCAATTTGACTGATATTGGCTCTTGTTTTTCATAGGGACCATTTGTCGAGCAGGATCTATGCTTGTGTCGATGTGTCCCATTGTAGTCGGAGAAACCGCAGATTGCGAAGACCTCCCAAACTTCACGTAAGATTCGTAGCCAAGAAAACAAGACTGGAGTCTGCAGCCACCACTGAACCCCGGTGGTAAGAAAACCAGAGCAGAAACGGAAGAGATGACAAATGGAGAGGCAAAAAGAACTTAAACACCACCAGAGAAAGGGAGAGATGAAACTCAGCCTCACATAGGTGAAAAATGACCAAGAAAGGAAGCCAATGCCCCCACAGATTACACACGAAGATTGGGAACACACACGGAGTGGAAAGTAAATAAGAGGATTGTAGGAATCAATCAATCAATCAAAATTTCTTTCAGTTTATTGGAGCGAAAGCATTTGGTCTTAGTTAAGATTTGTATAATTCAGGTGGAATGTGGAGATTGTGTGACATCTTATGTTAAATATTTGTTTATAATTGATTTATTTCGTATAACTGCAAGGTGGGGGGTTTTAGGGTGTTGCACCCGTCCCCTCCAACAAAAACCCCGATTCAGAAGAAACGAAAAATTACTTTAGAAGGGATTCTGACCCCCTCCTCCTCTTTAGAAACAAAAATCTTCATGACCACCTTTCTAATCCATCATAAAACCCAAAATATGACATGTTCTAACACCATATGCATGTAAGTCATCAACAAACGCTTTACAAGTTTCACTCAGTCGACGATACTTACGAATAAAATAAACAAACCGTTGTGAAGTTAACTTATGATTATTAGAGGACTCAAATGAAATAACTCTCCAACTCCTAGTCACAATATCATGTGCTACATGCAACCGAGCAAGACAATTTGTTCAAGTGATTGTCCTTAGCTCCCATTGTGTTTAACACATGTTTCTTATATATTTCTCCTTTTTATTACAAACTAATCAGCGTATAATAATTTTTTTAAAATCATGTACTATCTCATACTTTGTTCTTTGATTCAAATTTTATCTCTCTTATATCATATGAGATTTCACCTATAGTTTTGTAACCATTCAATTCCACTTTTTCTTCTTCATTATGCATATCATTACCATTGTTCATCTGTACATCATTAACTATTATCCATGATTGCTTTACAATTTATAATATTTATGAATTGAATGTCTATTTTATATTGTTACTCCTACCATGTTTATTGTCAGCACCACATAAAACAACAACAAACCCAAATGTTAGTACTCCTAAAGCAATCAAGAAACCAAAACAAATAAATGCATAAGTGTGAAGAACATAATAACTTCCTTAGTCCCTACTAACATTACCAATCTAAAGGAGGGATCAAATCCAAGTCCTGAGGGTGGTTGGGCGCTTGCTACACCATTTGGCCATAAGGTGTCTGCTTGTAATTTAACTAACAAGTAAAATACTAAGGGAAGAAAATATTGAAAATCAAAATAATTGGTTTCTCTCCATAATTCATCTTCATCCTTTTGTTTCAGATTCTTTTTCAATTTCACCGTTTTCTTATTCATCTTCATCCTTTTGTTTCGGATTTTTTTTTCCAATTTCACCACTTTCTTTTCAAGTTGGTTCACTGCATTTGTCAAGTTTAGTTTCTATCCTTCTTCTTTGCTCACTGTGAGTCTTTTCACCCGTTATCATGTATCCATAAAAATCTCACTCATATTGTGATCATTTCCACGATTATTGTTATGGGTGTCAATCTTTCATTTTTATTCTATCATGCATGCACTTTTGCCAAAAAATGTGTTCATCTTGAAGCAGTTTTATTTTTCTTTGTTGCATGCACATATAAGAGTAATAGAACGTGGTATAATAAGCAACAAAGTTTTTGTTATCTTCTCTTAAACTTTTACATCTCCTCATTCTCTATGGTAATTGAGTGCATTTACTTAAAACCCATAACATTTTCCTTGCACGTCACTTTCACTAACATTCATTAAACAATTACATTTTTATTTCTCAAAGTTCACTTTTGTGAGATTTACAGAAGTCAAAAACACTCTCAAACTTTAAGAGCAACTAAATGGTCAGTGGTTTGGAAGTTTCAAACTGAGATGTCAGGAAATATTGTTTTTCAAACGATCAGGTTGAAAAATCCTTCTGATTTTTCTCAAACACTGTAGTAAGCTTTTAGTGAAAGAGGATGATTGTTGGCTTATGTGGCCAACTCCATGTCTAGTAAGTATTTTGAAGTAGTATGTGAGCCTCATGTTAGTTTTTGGAAGTTTTTTAATCCTTGAAACCTTTAATATCTTGATAATTTTTTATGAATATTGACAAGTTAAAGCAATTAGCCTAGTGGTAAGGTGTCTCTCTAAGAGGAAGGTCATGGTCTTGGGTTCAAAATCCATTAAATTTTAAAAAATAAATAAAAATTAAAAGAAAAATCACCTGACAGACCACATCAGAAAACATGAAGATTTTATACCATTTTGGCAACTAAGAGGCCAAAGACACAAAATATTTACATTACAAAGGGGAAATTAATATAAATCGAATCTCGTTAACATTATAGAGGTGACGTATATTTAACGTTAAAAAATATCTAATATACAAGTGTAAGTAATATGATAAAGGTTCTCTATGAAATAATATACATCAACTACAATAAAAGGTGGGGGCATACTAAAAACACTTTATGTTATGATGCTTCATTTTGTGTGTTATTGTCTTCATCAACGAATTGACAACCAATAAAAACACTAACTAATTACTAACAAACTCTCACTAAACATTTATTTGGAATGTACTCATACTAACATTTTTTGATGACCATCTTGCATTTGCCCTAGTAATATAATATGATAAACTACAAACATTAATTTTATGCAATGCATTGTCATCCCTTGTTCTAATCATCTATGCATAAAAATTTGATCCAGATAGCAAGCAAAACATCAAAGTCCAAAAACCAATTGTTTAAGTTGCATCACATAATCAAACAAAAAGTGGGAACTTTATCTCTACCAATAAATGATTCTATCTTTCAAAGTCAACTAGAGTGCTTAGTTCCACTGAAAACAATCAAGGCATTTTTCACAACAATCATTTTACAGAATCAACAAAACCACCAAAGTTGAAACTGAATTAAAATTGTGAAATGAAAGAATAAGAATTCTTTGTTCCAAGGATAATTAACATAGAGCCATGAAGCACCTGAATATCATGTTATTCTCATACTGGGCTGAAATCCATTCACAGTTAGTCCTCCATCAACACAAATAACCTGCCCTGTGATGTAAGATGCAGCCGGAAGACAAAGGAACGCTACCAAGGATGAAACTTCTTGAGCTTCTGCGATGCGCCCAAGAGGAGTTCGAGACAACATTTCATCTACATATTGCTTGTCGCGAAGCAGCTATCACAATAGAAAACAGTTAGCAAGAGTTGTAATTAGAAAGAAAAAAAAAAGGAAAAGGAAAAAAGAACACTACATGTTCTACAAGTGGTGTATTGGTGGTAGCAGGAACAACACAATTGCTTCTTATGCCATCTTTTGCCCATTCGCAAGCCAAATTTTTTGTAAGCTGATTGATTGCAGCTGAAAACAGAATTGGACAGTAAACAATCAGTTTCCTTGATTGACGCAAAACATTTTACTACAAGCACGTTGAACAAGTATGGCTTATATGATAGCTCCCACCTTTACTTGCTGCATAGACTGATCCAGTACCTAAGCTCACCACACCAGAAATAGATGAAATGAATACAATGCTTCCCTTACCAGATGCCTTTAGAAGAGGATGTGTAAGTTGGCACAGATGATATGCAGAATCTAAATTAATCGCCATAATTTCTGAATATACTTCAGCAGTGTACTCAATGGTTGGTTTCCTAAAGTTTGCCCCAACATTGTTCACCTGTTAGAGGATCAAGCATCATTATCTATGACAAAATAGAATGTATGAAACAATGCTATGGCAAACGTAACAATCTTATTTCCAATAAAATGTGCTATAATTCAAGAACATGTAAGTGATTTAATGCAATCACATGTATTGTTAACGTGTCAAACATATGTATTAGACACTAAACATGCCTCCATCACATCTCTCATCGTCGAATCTAATCGGACGGTTACCTAAACACGCACAAGCGGTTTAAACCGCTCCTATCATATAAAGATCATACGGCGTCATTTCAGGTATTCAATTCATTCTGGTGCTACTTTTCAATGAAAGGGAATTAAGTAGTTAACTTACATAAATGTGAAGTTTTCCATTGAAGATTGAGGTGACTTCTTGAATAAGCTTCTCCCTTTGGTCTCGAGATGACACATCACACACAGATCCAGAAACTAAAAAGCCTTTACTTCGCCATTGACTCAAACAGTTATCGAGCTCTCCTTGATTTCTAGAACAAGTGTGGACGGTGGCACCAAACCCACACAAATCCTCAACTATGGCATGTCTGAAATTGAACGGGAATAGCCAAAATTAGAAACTTTGTAGCCAGAATTAAAATGGGGAAGGATGAAAATATTGAAATTTTCATGAAAAAAGAAACAAAATACCCAATTCCACGAGATCCACCGGTGACGAGAGCGATCATTCCTTTGAGGGACCATCTTGAGGATCCATTGGAAGTGCAGTGTTCAGCTGCTGCCATTTCTGTTTGTTTCTACTTTCTTGCTTTATCTCAAATTCCTTTTCTCCAAAAGTCAGAGTGGCATCAAGCATTTAATTACATTCTTATTTCAATATACTTTCTCAATTATTGAAGCTTCTCTTTTGGTCCCATGTAAAAAGTGGATATATATATATATATATATATATATATATATATATATATATATATATATATATATATATATATATATATATATATATATATATATATATATATATATATATATATATATATATATATATATATATATATATATATATATATATATATATATATATATATATATATATATATTAGTTTTTAGGTGGATTTTAGTGAGGTTTTAACCCAACTAAAAATTTGAAACATATTTGTGGATAAAATTTTTGATAGACAATTCAAAATTTTCAACAGTGTAGTCAAAATTTTTGATGCAGTGGAATTTCCGAAATTTTTGTGACTTTGTAAAATTACTTAAAATATTAAAAAATAAGGTTAAATATGTTTTTTTATCTCAATAAATATCTCACATTTAATTTTTAGTTCCTATAAAAAAATATATTTTAGTTCATACAAAAACTTTATGTATGCAGTTTTAGTCTGTTATTTTTAAAAATTTTAAAAACTATTTAATAATCCTTAATCTTTTAAATTTTTGAATAATTTTTTTCACATGTGTTCAGGTTACTATAAAATATTTCTTTACCAAATTATATAATTTTTTAAAATGAGAAAAATTAAATATGAATTTTTAAAATTTTAAAAAATAATGATAAAAGTAATAAAAATCTTGTATTATAAATAAAGTTTCTTTTTTTCCGATGAACTTTTTATAGCATTCTAAACATATTTGCAAAATAATCATTTAAATATACACATTGATTTAACAATAAGGACTAAAACTACGTGCATAATTATTTTGTAAGGATCAAAATGCACTTTTTTTTATAGGGATCAAAAACAAAATTTAGTATTTATAGAGACCAAAAACATATTTAACCCTAAAAAGTATCATGTTATACCGTAAATTTCAACCAAATAAAAATTTTCGGTAGTCTAATTTGTTTAAAATTTTAAACGGTCAGGATTTTGCCAACAATTTTGGATGACAGTGATTGCACTGACTGTTTTGTGAGGTCCAGAATAAATGCAAAGTTGTATAAATAGAGGTCACCTGTTGTTTGAGAAAAATATCTCAAATTATTTCTTCCTCAATTTTTGATTAAGGCAGAAGTGTACTTCAACAGAGCTTCACCTCTCGTAGAGTTGCGACTTCTAGATGGCACCAATTTCTCGTCGCCTTGACATCCAAGTTGAATGAATTATTGTCTGATACTGATAACATGAAAGTGAGAAAGATTGAGTTTCGTGAAGATTGAATTGATACTAATGGAGGAGTGAAACCCAACCTTATTGAGTTGAAAACCAATGAAGATGTGACGACTATGTGGAGATCATTTCACTGTAGGTTAACAAAAGGGTTGATCGAATTAGATGCAAAGATTTTAAGGTCTGTCGACGACATAATTAAGATGATGAAACGTCCAGAATCATCTGGTAGTGTCTAGGTTTTCTTATTTATTATTGTTTTCTTAAGTTATGTGTAAGTTATGTAATCCATTATCAAATGTTCATTTATGTTCATCTTGCATCAATGGAAGACCAAAAATATTATCTAATGAATAGTTCTGATGAAGGTGTTTGAGTAATGTTACATGTAATATAAAAATAATATACCAATTATACATAAAAATAATAAAAATATCTAAATAGGTCCCCCACGGACTATGTGTGTGACCCGAGATAATCCAGCAAAAACCTCACCATTTGAATTTATCAAACCCATGAGGTTATCTATAATAATTGCAATCATCTGGAAGTGTTGTTGGTCATCAGCATCAGCTGGTGGCAGCGGCGACATGTCATCGACATGTACCCTAGCATCAGAAAGCCCAACATCATATGCATGCTCAACAGGTGGGATGATGTGAGGGTGTTATACAATGAGGTATCACTCAAAGTAACCATCCTCACATTGCGTGTCATATTGAACCCTCACTTTGCAATCTCTAATGGCACGACCAGAGTTGATGATGTCACTTTAAAACCACCTGCCAATGCCTGCAGATAGAATATCTGAAACTGGTCGTGGGATGCCCTAGACATAACCATAATGTTGCAGACACCTTTCAGGCAAATGTCTAGTGATTAAAGTCTCCCACCCCATATAACCAGAATACAAAGAAGATTCATCAAACTCACACTGGACTCTATGATTAGTGTAATACCCAAAATTTTACCCTTAGTTTAGTCGTTTTATTTCGCATTCCATCTCATTTTGCATTGCATTGTAACTAACCGCTAACCAGTTTGCTCAGTCCGTCGATTTTGCAGGAAAAATCCCACTATGTGGAGTTTAATTGGTGAAGGGCAAAACAGTCATTAATTTGCAGCCTGTCGGCAATTTATGGAGCTGAGTGCGTCGCAGTATAAGTGGATTCAGGTTAAGTTGGTGCAAGAATGTGTTTTGAGGAATTTATTTTAACAAACGCGCGCTTTCCTGCTTTCTGCTGGTCAACGGTCGATTTCAAAGGAACAGTGGAATTTCGGTGCGCATTAAATTTATAATGAATATCTGTTGTTTTGATCATGACTGTTAGTTGGGCTGATTCAAGTTACCGGGTTAAAGTAGTCGAGATGCGGTTTGAATTTTCAATACGGAAGACAGTTCATTTTGCCGTTTAACTGAATTTCTCTGCTTATCCGTTCAAGGCCACATTCACCGTTAATATCGGATGCGAATTGATTTGCAAGAGGTTTTTTGTACTTAGCAAGTTATGTCGGGTTTAAACCGTACAAGATGGTTTAATGTTCAAATTCGGAGTTGGGACGTCATAGTTTAATCGGACAATTTTCATTGGATATATTTAATTAACTGGATTTATTTGATGATGAATTCAATCAGAGGAGTTTTAGTCGAACGAATTTGATCAGGTGAACTTAGTCCGAGAAATTTAATCGGATGAATTCAATTAAGTTAATTTATTCGTTGGAATTAATTGGATGAATTATTTCGGAGAATTTAATCGGGAAAGTAATTTCAGGTTAATAAGAAAATAAAATTTAATTTATTCTATAATTTTATTACAATATTTCAGAGATTAATTTCGAAGTACAAAATGGTAATTACAAAAATTCCAAAATTCCTGATTTGTCCTAAAACTATCTTCAAGTCCAATCTTCATTTCTTGACTTTCGACTTTTTCTTCGAAATTGCAAAACAACTCAACAAATGAAAATGAGCCAATTAATTAAGTTGGTTTTTATCGACTCTGATACCCTCAGTTCAATTTCATCATCGGGTACGTCGGGAGGGCAACAACAAAGTCGAAGCCAACTCCCGACTTATTTTCTGACCTTGGTAAATCCGACAGCACCTGTTCTAAGTCATTCCGAGGGAGAGAGAGAAAAGTGATTCTGAAAAAGTGCTTTTAGAAAAAGCACTTATTTCCGAAAAATGGTTTTGCCAAATAGGGCCTTAACAACATTTCTAAAAAATTCAGAACCCCATCGGATCCAATCCAACCAACAAGTCCAAAACGCATCCAACAAACAACAACAAAACTGGAAAATAGTCAAACAAGATGCGCAAGAATCCTGGGCAACAGAGCTAAAAACCGCCAACAAACAAACTTCCAGCCCCAAACTCACAGCAACCAGATTTCTGAAAAATACTCCATTAGAACGCAACAAAATCTTAACAACCTGGAGGATCCAAGCCCACAACAATCTCAACATAAGAGATCAGTTCAACCACAATAAAAAGGGGGCGTTCATCACAGAACAAGGAGGGCGGGGGGGATCATCAGAAAAATCAAGAAGAAGGTTAAGAACGAAAACGGCGAACAAGTACCATCATCAATTCGCGGCCGTAAACAGGAAACACGGACAAACACCATTTGTAATCCATCATCAGCGGACCACCACACAACTAACGGCAGCAAAGAACCCGAGGAATACCGTCGGATCCATTACCAAGCCGCGACCCGGACTCAGAGACGAACATTATCGTCCTCCATCATTGTCCGCGAGAACAATCTCCATCGATAAGGATTGTGGTTCAATCACTCATTTTGTTTGTTGTTTTCAGGTAAATGTGATAAGAAGAAGACAAGAGGTTGTTTCACAGCGACATGCAAGCCAAACAAAAGCTTCGAAGACAACAATGGGGGTGCCCCGCCGGCGAGCCAGAGGAAGAAGAAAAAGGTTATGAAAAAATCCTAGAAAGAGTCTCAGCAGACCTACCGCCCATTTCCCCTTTTATTTATTCTTTCTTGTTATTCCTTTTTATTTCCTATTTCTTTTATTTTACTAATTACTATTATTAAGTTATTATTATTATTTCTTAATCCTGTGATGTAATTAGATAGTTAAAGAAAAAAGAACTATTTCTGTAATTAAACTATTTTTTTAAAAAGGGGTTAACAACCATTTTTTTTACTCTCTCAAAACATTAAAAATTTTGAACTTAAAATTAAAATATGTTTTCAAATTAAACCACTTTTTTTTAATTAAAGATCCACATTTTCAAAAACTAAAATCAAACCATTTTTTATTAAAAACATATTTCTAAATGAAAACATTTTTTTCTAAATTAAAGTTTCTTTCTAATCAAAACCATTTTTAAAAAAGGTAAAAATTATTGTTAATCAATTAAAACATTTTTAAAGCATTTTAATATTTAATTGAAAACATTTTACTAACTTAAAATCAACCCATTTTAAAATTAAAATTAGAATTTTTGTAATTAATAATCAAAACCTTAAAAAAAAACTCTTGAATTAAGACCATTTTTTTATTCTTGCAAATTCTTCAATTGATTTCAAATGTTTCTTAAAATGTGGCTAACATTCTGATTACCGTTGCGAATTAACCTTTCCCGTTAACTTTTCATCTAACTTTCATCGTTTCTCGTTTGGCTTTGATTATTGATCCTTTTA